TCATAACGTCTTGGTTCTGTGGGACGGGTGCATCACCTAGCGGTGCTTCTAGGACATAATCTTTTTTGGCAGCTATGAGGATGATCCTCAGGTTCCGGACCCAGTCCGTACAGTTGCTGCCATCGTCTTTCAGCTTGGTTTTCTCTAGGAACGCGTTGAAGTTGAGAACAACGTGGGCCATTTGATCTACAAGACATATTGTAAAGATTTTAGACTAAGTTCATGATAATTAAGTTCATCTAATCAAATTATTCAATGAACTCCCACTCAGATAGACATCCCTCCAGTCATCTGAGTATAACATGATCCGAGTTAACTAGGCCATGTTCGATCATCACGTGAGACGGACTAGTCAACATCGGTGAACATCTTCATGTTGATCGTATCTTCTATACGACTCATGCTCGACCTTTCGGTCTTCTGTGTTCCGAGGCCATGTCTGTACATGCTAGGATTGTCAAGTCAACCTAAGTGTATTGCGTGTGTAAATCTGGCTTACACCCATTGTATTCGAATGTTAGAATCTATCACACCCGATCATCATGTGGTGCTTCGAAACAACGAACCTTCGCAATGGTGCACAGTTAGGGGGAACACTTTCTTGAATTTTTTTACGAGGGATCATCTTATTTAAGCTACAGTCGTTCTAAGCAAATAAGATGTAAAACATGATAAACATCACATGCAATCAAATAGTGACATGATATGGCCAATATCATTTGCTCCTTTGATCTCCATCTTCGGGGCTCCATGATCATCGTTGTCACCGGCATGACACCATGATCTCCATCATCATGATCTCCATCATCGTGTCTTCTTGAAGTTGTCTCATCATCTATTACTTCTACTACTATGGCTAACGCTTTAGCAATTAAGTAAAGTAATTACATGACGTTTATGTTGACACGCAAGTCATAAATAAATAAAGACAACTCCTATGGCTCCTGCCGGTTGTCATACTCATCGACATGCAAGTCGTGATTCCTATTACAAGAACATGATCATCTCATACATCACATATATCATTCATCACATCCTTTGGCCATATCACATCACAAAACACTTGCTGCAAAAACAAGTTAGACGTCCTCTAATTGTTGTTGCAAGTTTTTACGTGGCTGCTGTAGGTTTCTAGCAAGAACGTTTCTTACCTACGCCAAAACCACAACGTGAATTGCCACTTTCTATTTACCCTTCATAAGGACCCTGTTCATCGAATCCGATCCGACTAAAGTGGGAGAGACAGACACCCGCCAGCCACCTTATGCAACTAGTGCATGTCAGTCGGTGGAACCGGTCTCACGTAAGCGTACGTGTAAGGTTGGTCCGGGCCGCTTCATCCCACGATGCCGCCGAATCAAGATAAGACTAGTAACGGCAAGCAAATTGACAATATTGACGCCCACAACTACTTTGTGTTCTACTCGTGCATAGTAACTACGCATAGACCTAGCTCATGATGCCACTATTGGGGAACGTAGCAGAATTTTAAAATTTTCTACGCATCACCAAGATCAATCTATGGAGTCATCTAGCAACGAGGGAGAGAGGAGTGCATCTACATACCCTTGTAGATCACGAGCGGAAGCGTTCAAGAGAACGGGGTTGATGGAGTCGTACTCGACGTGATCCAAATCACCGAAGATCCTAGCGCCGAACCGACGGCACCTCCGCGTTCAACACACGTACGGAGCGATGACGTATCCCGCTCCGTGATCCAGTAAGGAGGAGGGAGAGGTTGAGGAAGAGGGCTCCAACAGCAGCACGACGGCGTGGTGGTGATGAAGCTGCAGTACTCCGGCAGGGCTTCGCCAAGCTCTTATGGAGGAGGAGAGGTGTTGGGGAGGGGAGGGGATGCGCCTTGGATGTTGTGTGCAGCCCTCCCCTCACCCCTCTATTTATAGGGGAAGGGGGAAGGGGGCCGGCCCCCTCTAGATGAGATCTAGAGGGGGGGGGGGCGGCCAAGGGGAGGGGGGCTTGCCCCCCAAGCAAGGGGGCGCCCCCCCCTTAGGGTTTCTCCCAACCCTAGGCGCATGGGCCCTAGGGGGGTGTGGCGCCCCAGCCCACTTGGGCTGGTTCCCTTCTCCATACAGCCCATAAGGCCCTCCGGAAGAGGTGGCCCCTCCCGGTGGACCCTCGGAACCCCTCCGGAGGCCCCGGTACAATACCGATATGCCCCCGAACCTTTCCGACGACCGTATGACAACTTCCATATATAAATCCGGACCATTCTGGAACTCCTCGTGACGTCCGGGATCTCATCCGGGACTCCGAACAACATTTGGTAATCACATACAAGTCTTCCTAACAACCCTAGCATCACCGAACCTTAAAGTGTGTAGACCCTACGGGTTCGGGAGACATGCAAACATGACCGAGACGACTCTCCGGTCAATAACCAACAGCAGGATCTGGATACCCATGTTGGCTCCCACATGCTCCACGATGATCTCATCGGATGAACCACGATGTCGAGGATTCAATCAATCCGTATACAATTCCCTTTGTCAATCGGTACGTTACTTGCCCGAGACTCGATCGTCGGTATCCCAATACCTTGTTCAGTCTCGTTACCGGCAAGTCACTTTACTCGTACCGTAATGAATGATCCCATGATCAACCACTTGATCACATTGAGCTCATTATGATGATGCATTACCGAGTGGGCCGAGAGATACCTCTCCGTCATACGGAGTGACAAATCCCAGTCTTGATTCGTGCCAACCCAACAGACACTTTCGGAGATACCTGTAATGTACCTTTATAGTCACCCAGTTACGTTGTGACGTTTGGCACACCCAAGGCACCCCTACGGTATCCGGGAGTTGCACAATCTCATGGTCTAAGGAAATGATACTCGACATTCAGAAAAGCTGCAGCAAACGAACTACACGATCTTTGAGCTAAGCTTAGGATTGGGTCTTGTCCATCACATCATTCTCCTAATGATGTGATCCCGTTATCAATGACATCCAATGTCCATAGTCAGGAAACCATGACTATCTTCTGATCAACGAGCTAGTCAACTAGAGGCTCACTAGGGACGTGTTGTGGTCTATGTATTCACACATGTATTACGATTTCCGGATAACACAATTATAGCATGAACAATAGACAATTATCATGAACAAAGAAATATAATAATAACCATTTTATTATTGCCTCTAGGGCATATTTCCAACACTTTCGCCGGAATCTTGGACGGCGGCCGGCGGCGGCGTGAGGGGGGAGAGGAGAGGTGGTTGGTGGGGGAAAGCGCGGGATGAAATGTCCCCCCACCAACCGCTTCCGTTTATATGCAGGGCACCACAACCGCGAGGGGGAAACCTGCGTTTTCTCGGGTTAAGGTCGGGATTTTGCCGCGCCCCCTAAATTTTTTTGCGGGCCGGGGCGGGATGCGGGATCTGATCGGGCTGGGTTTTCCGCCCCGACCCGTATTTTGGCGGTTATTTTACGGGTTGGGGCGGGATGCGGGGTGTGCTAGAGTTGCTCTAAAAAGGATTCGACCAGTCCCACGACGTCGTCACCATTTCCTCCCACGCCATGTCGTGTGATTGGGCCTAGTAGTTTGCCGCCCGTCTTTCCTCCTTGCACATGTGGATACCATGGAGGGATTGTACCTGCGGTGTTGTGACGAACCATTTGAGAGAACTACGAGGAAATGTTTAAGGGATTCACGAGGAGGAGACAGAGATGCACTTCACAACTCTTCTTCTGTTGTCATGATTGTGCGTCTAGTGGTAAAACTAGTTCCGTGATCTATCTACACAACATGTTCCTGGTTCGTGCAGTGGAAAATTTTCTTTTGCGACCGCGTGCCCTGACCACAACACCCCAGTCCCTCCAACAACACCTGGATGACAAACCATCTTTCAATTTATTTTACAATTCCCACTAGAGATAATGTGTGAACCCGTTTAGAGAGAAGCCCTCAAAAAATGGATGTGTTAAGAAAATCATGGCAACCAAGGGGGGCTGAGGAGGGTCTTTCAGACATTGATTTTCCATACATCTTAAAACTTTAATGTTTTTCAGTTTTCATGTCATTTTCTTATTAGATTTGTACCGTTTTAATATTATTTGGACCAATATATTAACAAGGCACCATGAAGGCTAGTGATCCCACTTTTCTTCTAAGTTGCACCCTCCCCCTCGAGATTGACGGGTGGGACCCGGATCACTAGCATTAAGACAAGTCTAGGGCAAACCATCAAACCCCATGTAAAATGGGGCAAATGATCCTAATCCCTCCAAAAAGCCTTAGCCTTAAAGGATCTCTCTCCCTAGTAGAATTCCTAAAGGAAAAAAGATACGCGGTGACATAATTGCTTCTCAGAAAGGCATTTTACATTGCAATGATTTATTTCCATAAAAAGAATGAGTAAATCTCTCTCAGAGAGGAAGGGAATAAATTTCCAAATTTTTTATCCGGGCATGATATTGGGAACAACCGTAAAATCAGCTTCCGTAAGAAAATAAATAAATGAGAAGAAGAAATAGAATATAAACAACGAATTATAAGTAAGCAGTCCAAACAATTAAGAAAAACAATTATAAAACGAATAATAAGTAAATGAATAAAAATTGAAAAGGAAAGGCCGGCAGACAGGGAGAAGTGGGAGGCGCTCCTCCCGTGCAGCGTGTCTATCCGCACGCACAGCCGCTGCCGACACAGCCGAACCACCCAGCTGACGGAGCGGGACCGCATGCCCTCCGGACCCACGCCTCATGGCAGAAGCCTGAACCGCACTGGTGCTCCCGGAATTAAGCATTCTGTTCAACGCTGCAACGGCTACTACTAGAAAGCCCAAAAAGCCTGCGAAGTGCCCGTTGGGCTCGGCGCCGTCATCCCACGCTCGCACAAAGACAGGGGAAAAAAGAGGGATCTCTCTCTCTCTCTCTCTCTCTACTCCTCTGTGCGCTTGCCATTTTCCCCAAATCTGTCAGAGAGGGAGAGAGCTAGGTTTTCCCTGCGCCCGAGCGATCCAGCAGGAGCGGCCATGAACATCTTCAAGAAGAAGGTCGACCCCAAAGGTACGGCCCGGTTCCTGGATTCGCGTTGTTCTTTTGGTTTAGATTGGGGGGTTTCGGCGATTCTAGCGGGGTTCTAGCCTCGCCTCGATTCGTCCCCCCTTCCCGTCCCGCCGATTTGGTCGATCTGCGGCCCGGGCTTCGGTGATGCGGGCGTTTCTGTGATCCAAAGGCGAGATCTTTGCTGGATTTCGGCCTTCTAGAACCGGATTTTTTGTCCCCGGCTGCTTCGATAGGTAGGGTTTTAGGGTCACCTAGCGCTTGCGCGGATGGAGGATAAATCGAGAATGTTCTGGGTGTCGGAGTGGGGAAACTCGCTGAGTTCATTCATGGGCGTGCAATTTGTGAATTAACTGGCAGTGTGGAGTTTGGTGTCGCCAACTAATGGCCTGATGCTTTTGTCACCTGCAGAGGCTCTCGGGACGAGCAAGCGAGAGATGTCAGTCGCCACAAGAGGTGAGAGCAAAATCTCCTCTTCTTTTCCTTCCGGTGTTCTGTCAACTTGTCCCAGGCATTCCCTTTAGTTCTTATTGCTCCCTAACATACATGGCTTAAATACCACCGATTCACCAGCGTTATTGTGAATTTTTTTATGTAAGTGACATTTGAACATGTGCTATATTAACAGCAAACCTGCACAAGTTCAGAAATCGGCGTCTTTTTTAAAGGCAATCGATGATATATCATGTAACAGAGTTTCACTGAATAAGATTACAACCGACAGTGATACTACCTTAAGTATCAGCTCTTGAAGAAAAATGTAGCTGGCAATGTGCTAATTTCTGACACCATTTCTCTCCTTTTGCATTTTTAGGAGTTGAGCGAGAGATTGGCTCCCTGCAAATGGAGGTATGTAGTAAGTGAAGGGCCTTTTCTTGTTCTTTCCACAAGGCAAACAATGGGCAGATTTCACAAAGTTGCTTGGTTGGGTTGAACCCACTGTTCTCACATAGTATGAGTAATTGATTAATACAAACAATATGCTACCGTCATACTGAACCTAGATTGCCCATAGGAATTTTTTCTTCTACCAGGAGTGTGATAGTAGTTCCACTGCAATACTGAACTAGAGTAGAATGGATGTCAAGCTCCCACCACACAATAGAGGCCAGACTGACTGCGTGGAGATTAGGTAGCACTGCCACTGTTGATATTATTCAATTATTATGCTTCTGGTGTGCAATGAACTAGATTGCCCATAGGAATTTTTTCTTCTACCAGGAGTGTGATAGTAGTTCCACTGCAATACTGAACTAGAGTAGAATGGATGTCAAGCTCCCACCACACAATAGAGGCCAGACTGACTGCATGGAGATTAGGTAGCACTGCCACTGTTGATATTATTCAATTATTATGCTTCTGGTGTGCAATGAACCAGACAGCAGGTTTGCTCCTGAGATGTTTTTCGATAATACCTCGAAAATAGCTCACTATTATTTGTTTTTGGATCTTTGTTCAGGAATTAAAGCAACAAATTGCAAATCTGATCAGTGCCATATTGCAGTTGATACTTCATTTTGGACCTTGCACTTAAATTTCTGTCTTGGTTTTCTTTGATAAAATTGCGTTAACCAAGTGAATATTGTGCTAAAATATTGTTATTTTTGCAACTGAATGCTTATACACATTTTTATTGAGGCTGTGAGGTGCCTCAAACACCTAGAGGTCTTCATGCTGCTGCCATACCCTCATGCTCTAGGAGTGGAAACCACAGCAGTTTAGTCCAGAAAGGGCGTGAAACAGCAGCATCACTTTGCATCTTTACTTATTATTACTGTATCATTATGATAGTTCCACTTACCACTCTGCAATGGCTTGTGTGTATTGTATTGTTTTGTTTCCTAACGCCGTAGTGGTACCATTCCAGGAGAAGAAGCTAGTTGCTGAGATCAAGAAGACTGCCAAGACTGGAAATGAGGTAAGTATGCTAGGATTTTGCGTAAGATCCCTAATCCATAACAATTTTCTTATTGATGTCTTACAATGCGTGTTCTGTATTGCTATAGGCTGCAACCAAAATTCTAGCCCGGCAACTAGTCAGGCTTAGGCAACAAATCGTCAATTTACAAGGTACACGGGCGCAGATACGTGGAGTAGCTACTCACACACAGGTATGCCTAGCTTTCAGTTTGATTTATACAGCTGCAAATTTTGAGCACGGACAGAATAAACTTACTACTGTGTGTGAACTATCTATTTTTCAAGGCAATGTATGCTGGAACTTCAATATCTGCTGGAATGAAAGGCGCAAGCAAAGCGATGGCAGCAATGAATAAGGTATGACGAAAGACAGCCATGGTTGGTTGGCTGTTCTTTAACTATCGATCTTTGCCAATCTCTAGTCAATCTTTTCCTGTGAACTTATTTGTGAACTGTGTATCCTGAGATGGTTGGTGCAATTTTTTTTCAGCAATTGGAACCAGCGAAGCAGATGAAGCAGATGAGAGAATTCCAGAAGCAATCATCTCAATTGGACATGACGGTAATAGCATTTCGGACACTCTTTAATTGTTTATTGTGGTGTTAAGGGTAGATGCTTAGTTAAATCGCATTATATAGATATGTATGAGTTAGCCATGATGGTAATAAAATTGTGGACATATGCCTTATTTCTTTACTGTAGTGTTAAGTCGTTACTCTTAGATATATCACATTATGTAGATGTGTTTGTTGGTTAGTTATTACTTGCTTAGCACATATGAATAAACTAGATCAGGGAGCCCAGACCAGATGCAATCATTGTTGCCTGGGGATGATTCATCCATTTATTGTATTTACTGTGGATTTCTTATGATCTACACTCTTATGAGCATTCTGAGATGTCATCCACTCAAATTGTTAGTGCTTCCACTCCATATTCATCTTTTCTGAGATTTCATTTTGTAAATTTGTACGCAGATTGACTACGTTTCCCTTCATTGTGCCGTTTCAAATATTCTTTAGAAGTATGAATCAGTACAGCATCTTAGTATAATTAGTTGTTTCATCCTATTTATTGTACAGCAATCATTGTTTTCCGTGGACGATTCATCCTATTTATTGTGGACTTTTCATGATCTACAGTGTATGAGCATTCTGAGATATCCACTCAAATTGCTCACTCCATATCCATGTGTTCTGAGAATTCCTTTTGTAATTTTGTACACACATTAGCTATGTTTCCCTCCATTGTGTCGTTTCATATATATCTATGAATCAATACAGCATCTTAGAATAGTTAGCTATTTCAGTGTCTTCATAACTTATTTGTCAGTTCGGTCAGATATGTCAGTATTCCTACAGATGTACTCAAAGAAATGTTCTAGCTGTCAGCTTGAGATCAATAACTTATTCCCAAGATCCCTTTAAATTGTTTTTTTTTTCTGAAAATTAAGATCAACTATTTCCATGCAGCTTGAGATGATGTCTGATGCCATCGATGAAACACTAGATAAGGATGAGGCTGAAGAGGAAACAGAAGAGCTCACGAACCAGGTAAAATGCTAATTATATTCTGCATTTTGACGAGGGAGAGCGTTTTGGCTCCCTGGTGGGCAATCATTTTTGGCACGGTTGTTAGCTGCCTGGCAAAGCTAACTTTCTTACATGTTTGCTACCAAACGGATCCCCTCATTGCTAAGCAAGATTAAACAAGACCTTGTATTGAAACGTTCCCTAACTGTTTCATGATATGTGATATATCCCTCTGCCCTCGATGCAGGTTCTGGATGAGATTGGTGTTGATGTGGCTTCTCAGGTAAATACGCCTGTTCATTCTACACTACCAGCGTGCTGAATCTTAATTCTAAATGCTGATTTTGAGGCATTCGTGATACTGCAGCTGTCTTCTGCACCTAAAGGCCGTATTGGAGCCAGTAACAAGAAAGCCGAGAACAACCAAGCACGGTATACAATCATTTCTCCCCCCACAATCATAGCTAAAATGTCCATCTCAACAGATGAGCAAACTGTGTTCTTTTATTCTGGGCCTCTGTATCTGTTTGCCTTTTACCTGATGGAAATGTCATGCTATCAGGAATGCGGCTCCAGCGAAAAATGTGGCGCCTGAACCTAATGCCGCTGAAGTTGATGATCTGGAGAGGAGACTGGCATCTCTCCGCCGCATCTGAGTTGCTGCTGCAAGAAAGTTTATATAGCCTTATATATGTAAATCTGTTTACTGGTGCCTTGTTTCCAAATTCTGGTAGCTTAATATTGTAACCAGGAAACAAGCATAAACTGTCGTGTTGCCAATCAAATGTGGCTGAAAAGAAATATGGTGGAGCATAAATTATTTATGAAGTGAACAAATTACACAAGTTTAGGGCACAATTACGGGGAAGAAAATAGAAGGACCCTGCGCATGTTTTCTTTTTGCCTGGCCAAACACTTGAGAAATTGCAGGCAACATATGATGATGATTCACAACTATATCAAACACACCGAATGACCCTAGGGGACGAGTATTTAGAACGTGATGCCTGTGCAAGTGAAAGTACTATGCCCCATGCCTCTATTTTCATCGTTGTTATACATTTTTACACTATGCTTGCTACTTCTAAATAGCTCTTTAAATTTGTGCAAAAATACGATCTCTTGCTTTTAATCAATTTCTCTTTTGAGGACAGCTCTTCTAGTTTGTTTTGCTTGACGCTTTTGGGATACTTACCGGAAGGTGCTACACTACCATGTGTGTCTTGCAGGCCATCAGGGCTGACGGTGATTCACCTTCTATATTACATACAGCACAAGCATGGCAACCGAGGACTCCACTCAACTTCCATTTCCCACATCTACGTGTCCTATTGAACAACTTGACTTCACAACTTTCTTGGCCACCCGTCACCTGATAAACACAAACTCTGGATGTATATGGTGTGTAGTATTTCACTCTAGCCTTTGCTCTCTCCAACTTCTTACTCATGACTGGAGTAGTCTCCCAGCTTGCACTTTCCGCTCCACTTTATTTTAGAGCCATTTTTGTCATGATTCTGGTCCTAATGAGTTCTATCATTGTAACAATAGGCTTGTCCCTGTAATCCAAGATATACTTCTTTAACACATCAGATGAACTGTTGACAACCAGATCCGTTTTAGACCTTGGACTTAGCATGCCGGCTGATTTGTTCATTAGGAATATGCCTGACCCAAGGCCATGCATCCTTGTTGTACTTCTTCAAGTACCTATGTTGTGCTTGCTATTGAGAAAAATTCTACTCATTAATTCTATTCATTATTGAGAAAAATCCCAGCCTGCACTTTCTGCTCCACTTTGTTTTAGAGCCATTCTTGTCATGATTCTGGTCCTAATGAGTTCTATCATTGTAACAATAGGCTTGTCCCTGTAATCCAAGATATACTTGTTTAACACATCAGATGAACTGTTGACAACCAGATCCGTTTTAGACCTTGGACTTAGCATGCCGGCTGATTTGTTGATTAGGAATATGCCTGACCCAAGGCCATGCATCCTTGTTGTACTTCTTCAAGTACCTATGTTGTGCTTGCTATTGAGAAAAATTCTACTCATTAATTGTGCTAGCATATATACAATCTTGTCAAAGTAAACTTTGGAGACCACTCCCTTGAATTCAACATATGAGGAAATGGCTAGAACATGTCTTCTGCAGTACCTTGTTGTGCCATTGGGAAAAATTCTCATATGCCACCCACAAGTCCCTTTTGCCTATCAGACATATGTGTTCACCCTCCATGCCTCTCCCTGTCCTATTGCAGCCTCAAGTTGTCTCAGAAACCATGTCCAAGTAGAAAGATTATCGATGCTCAGAACTGCAAAGGCCAATGGGAACATGTTGTTCCCATACCTGTAGATGCAGCAAGCACTTGCACACCATTTGCAAACATCACAAAATAGCCATCCAGGCCAATGAAAGGCCCGCAACCATTTAAAAACCCTTTAATTTGATGCACAATAATTCGTTATTCGAAAGACATGTTGCGAACATGTAGTTAAGCACTTCTTGAACATAAAAAATGTTGCACACAAATATATTTGCACTGTGCCATGTCTCTTGGCATTGGGCTAATGCCAAAAGGTTGATTAGTAACCGCTGCGTAGTTATCCCATTCTAACGTTGATCTCAGGCACATTAAATTATGGGTCATCTTGATATTGTTTAGTTGCATTTATTTACGCTCACCCGCTGCCTTATATTGTTTAACCCCGCAACTCCTTTAATCATTTGTTTCCAGTTGTTGATCCATTCCTGCCAACTCATCGCTGGTGTTTTGTTAGGAGAAGTTAGTGTACCTGGCAACTGGGAGACGGGGAGAGCGATGTGGCGGGGATATTTTTTTTCCGATAAAGAGTGTTTTTATTAACTCAAAATGTAGCATTAAGAAGATACAAATCATGATGAGTAACACCCGAGCTCTGCATAGCTAGGATGCACACAACCAAACACAAACAGTCTGAAAGAAAATAAAAAGGCTGACATATTGGTACTAGTAGAGTCAAATAGGACCGTCACTATACCTATGTCGAAGAAGGTGATGGGCCGATAAGGAAGTTATGTTGTCACCCATGTTGAGAAAAAACCTCCATGACCACTCGCTCCAATTACGTACACACCGCCTTGAACAATGGTTGGAATTCCGTACGGTGAATCATAGACCACGTACGAAGCGATTGTGTACAACGGAAAATAACCTGCAAAGGAGAAGAGTTTTTGTCATTAAAAATCAGATCATTTATACATAGCCAAAGCGACCATAATAAGGCATACGCTCCCACTCTTATTAGCGTTTTGAATCTGTAACGAATATCGTCTAGCCAATGACCAAAAATATTGGCAACACCTATGGACGGATAAAGATTAGAAGCTATTTGGATGATTGACCACGTAAAACACGCAAACTTGCACTGGAAAAAGAAGTGTCTGGTTGTCTCGTCATGAGTACAAAAGCCACACTTCTTGCTTCCATGCCAGTTGCGACGGGCGAGGTTATCTTTGGCTAGCACCACTCCCTCCCGAAGATACCACATGAAGATATTAATTTTCAGTGGAATCTTTGATCTCCAAATAGTCTTGTTATTATCCACTGGGAACTTTGAATGCATGAGCGCACGATACATCGAGTCGACTGTGAAGGACCCAGATGTAGTGAGGTTCTAGCGGAACACATCTCATCCTTGTGTCAGGTTAATCGTATCTAGTCGGGACAAAAGATGTTGCCATTACATAAGACGGGGGCCAATCAAATCCCGCCTAAAGAAATATTTGGTGGAAAGGAATTGAGCACCTGCGCAAGAGTTTCATTCTTATCACGAACAATGCGGTGCAAAGCTAGATGTTGTTCCTGGAGACTGGCATTGCCTAGCCAGATGTCTTTCCAGAAACGAATCTCAGACCCGCTTTAATCGCGAAAGATCTAAAGCGGGAAAGATATTTCTTTTCCGCCATTAGACCTGCACAAAAGTGTGAATCACCAGGTTACATTGAACAATCATTTACTAAGTAGGGCATCATTGTCCAAAGACACATGCATGCAGAGGATCAGTCATTTTCACCCGGACTTTACCTCGGGCCGCAATATATATAAATACCAAAAATAAGTAAATAAATATAACATGCTCACGAGTACATGAAAATAAATCACAGAAATAAGAAAATGGTCATCAAAGAAAGATAAACCAAACTAACCCTTGCAACATCGGTTAACTATCTACTCCTCTGTCAATGGTGATATAAACTATCTTATATTTGTTTAGAGAGGAAGTATATCATAGTCACTCATTATTTTTATCGCATGTACCTCAGTGATGCCAATGTGAACGGAGGAGACCCAAGACTTCGTCTACATGATTACAACAATTATATCTTTGTCCAGCTCTTAAGTGACCCCAACAAACATATCGGTTATTTGAGCCTTTCCATTGCTCCTCGACTTGCAATTGCTTTAGAATACTCACAAAAATACAAAATTAGATAAATCCAATGACTTGATGCAAGTATTAAGATAGTTTTTAAAATTAGACTTGACTTGTCACTTTCGCTCTCCATCAGCACTTAACAATTTTCATTGATCTAGGATAAGAGTTACAAAAGCCACACTTCTTAACTTCCATGCCAGTTGCGACGGGCGAGGTTATCTTTGGCTAGCACCACTCCCTCCCGAAGATACCACATGAAGATCTTAACTTTCAGTGGAATCTCCGATCTCCAAATTGTCTTGTTATTATCCACTAGGACCTTTGAATGCATGAGCGCACGATACATCGAGTCGACTGTGAAGGACCCAGATGTAGTGAGGTTCCAGCGGAACACATCTCATCCTTGTGTCAGGTTAATCGTATCTAGTCTGGACAAAAGATGTTGCCATTACACAAGACGGGGCCAATCAAATCCCGCCTAAAGAAATATCTGGTGGAAAGGAATTGAGCACCTGCGCAAGAGTTTCATTCTTATCACGAACAATGCGGTGCAAAGCTAGATGTTGTTCCCGGAGACTGGCATTGCCTAGCCAAATGTCCTTCCAGAAACGAATCTCAGACCCGCTTTAATCGCGAAAGATCTAAAGCGGGAAAGATATTTCTTTGCCGCCATTAGACCTGCACAAAAGTGTGAATCAACAGGTTTCCAGTAGGTCCGAGACACATTGAACAATCATTTACTAAGTAGGGCATCATTGTCCAAAGACACATGCATGCAGAGGATCAGTCATTTGCACCCGGACTTTACCTCAGGCCGCAAAATATATAAACACCAAAAAAAGTAAATAAATATAACATGCTCATGAGTACATGAAAATAAATCACAGAAATAAGAAAATGGTCATCAAAGAAAGATAAACCAAACTAACCCTTGCAACATTGGTCTAACTATCTACTCCTCTGTCAATGGTGATATAAACTATCTTATATTTGTTTACAGAGGAAGTATATCATAGTCACTCATTATTTTTCTCGCAGGTACCGCAGGTACCTCAGTGATGCCAATGTGAACGGCGGAGACCCAAGACTTTGTCTACATGATTACAACAATTATATCTTTGTCCAGCTCTTAAGTGACCCCAACAAACATATCGGTTATTTGAACCTTTCCATTGCTCCCCGACTTGCAATTGCTTTAGAATACTCACAAAAATACAAAATTAGATAAATCCAATG